GACCTGGGCTCAGAGAGGAAGCGACAGCAGCGCGGCCGCAGGGCGCCTGCGCGAACACGCACACAGCCCGAGTGCACATGCGCACGAGGACGCCGGAAGTCGCCGGCCGGGGCCCATTCGAGGCAGCGGGACTCTATTTCCCATAAGTCCGCGTGCCGCCCAGTTAGGGAGCGTCTTCCAAGTCTCCAGCTCGTCCGGCGGTGGAGAGCCGCTGCGCCGGGAGAGCTCGCCGCTCGGGGGGACGCCAGGTTCCCCGTCACTCAGAGGAATGTCTGCAATGTCGACGCCGCACCAGGTTCTCGGCGCCCTGGCCTTTCGGTACCTGAGAGCTTAAGGCTTAGAACCAGTGACCACTAACAACCCTGGTCAATCAGGGAAAGGGGTGTGCCATGCTCACTGCCACATGCGGCGTTTAATTAAAATTTTAGTAAATCGAGTTCTGCGATAACTTCATAGAGCATGAGTCTGGATGCCTACCCCGTTGGGAAACAAACCCACCCCTGACACGGACGTGTTTTCTCCGGGGCCTCTCCACTCAGTCGCTCGCCTGGGGGCAGCTCTGCACTCCTGGTCCCCTGAGTTATTCCAGCGGCCTGCGAGCACCCCGTTATTCCCCTCCTCACTTCTAGAATACTGGGGACTAGCCATGATTGTAAGAAACATGAATCCTGCTCTGGGAGCCGCGACTGCTTCGTTCTGATTACAGAAGGCGCATGCTCACCTGGCTGGGAGTGGCAGTGGGACCTGGGAGCTCACCTGGAAAGGCGGCCCCTCCTCCCCATCCGGCAGCTGCCTATTATCATGGACAGATTAGCAACCTTGCTGCAGGAACCAGAGCCGCCAGCCCTGTGAAGACCCCCAGCCTTGTCCTACCCACAGGCCTTTGCAATATCTGCAGCCTGCACTACCCATTTGGCATCCCTTTTGCCTCCTTCCCCGTGTAATCTTTGTCTACTCCATATAAGCAGCTGGCTTATGGGGGGCAGCACAGATGTTTGTGGGTGACCTGCTGCTCTGCCTGCTGCCGGCAGGACTGGAATACACGCTCATGTAGGATTCAACCCCGTCTCTGCTTCATTGGCTCAAGCATGACAGGCAGCCCGGACCCACTGGTTGTCCGGTTACAGACCTCACCTGTCTGCCTTCCTGGCCACGCCCAGTGTGCTGTGTAATGAATTCTGTGGTGGTCCTTGTCCCTGGGGTGGTCCTTGGGGGCAGCCCCTCAATCTCTGGAAGTTCCTGAGCGATCCGTTACCTATGCTGGGCTCCGTGGCGCACCCCTGGGTTATGCTGAAGGGGTGACTCAGGGTGGTGTACGAGCCCCCACTCCGGAGGGGAGCGGGGCTGGAGATTGAGTTCGATCAGTCCCGGGGCCAGGGCGTGGAAAGATCTCGCCTGCACAGTGGAACCCCAATAGAACACCCAGGTGGCCGAGGCTCAGGGGAGCGCCTCTGGGGGTGAACATCTGGGTGCCTGAGGCACAGCCTGCGGACCCAGGAGCTGGGCCCTGGGAAGTGCCCGCGTTCTCCGACGCCCCATCTCCCAGGCCTCCTCCATAGCCCTGTGCTCAGGGACCAGCGCCTCTTTCCCCATGCCCACCTCACCCAACAGCTTGAGCTCATCCTTTGTTCCCTTTCCCCCACCCCCACCCCCGGGAAATTTCGACAATACCCTCATTTTTTTCTTTAAAAAAATTTTTTTAATGTTCTGATTGCTTTTTTAGAGAAACACCAATAAGAGAGAAACGTTGATGGGCAGCCTCCTGCACGCCTCCTGCTGGGGATCCCGGGCCTGTGCCCTGATGGGGAATCAAGCCCTAGGCCTCTTGGTACCCAGGTCCACGCTGGGTCACTGGGCCACGCCAGCCGGGCCCTCGCTGCTTTTCCGTGGTCTCTACTTCACCACAGGCTCTGACTCCTTCCACCACGTAAAACGCAATGGGAGGTTGTGAAAGGGGCGCCCTCAGGGTGAAACAGTGAGCACTGTGTGTCATGTGCCTGTGGGTCTGCTGGTCACAGCCAACTTCCAGGGAGGCAGGTCTCACTGAGTCACGCGTCCTCATTTCGAATTTCAGATGATGTGTAGGTGCCCGTGGCGCTTTCTCCCGTCTTTCTCCTCTTCCCATTCTCCTCCCTCCACGGCGCCCCCTTTCCTGCTTTCAGTCTCTCTCTAGCTTAGGACCTGCCTCAACTTCTATTTTTTCTTTCTACGTGAAAAAATAACTGGGGATTGTTTGTAAAAGTTCAGAGATTCGGTTGAATAATCACACCCCATTCAGCTACATTATCATTTGACAGTGAATGGGCTAACCAAACGGGTACCACAACACAAACTGTGGAGGTGAGAATTTCATCTTTATTATGCTTCCCAAGAGATGCGTCGCACTGTGCTCCTTAATGATCTACAGTATCGTACAGACGTGTCATCCAGGCCAGTTAAAGAATTACAATTCAATAAGCAAGGAGTGTGGTATGTGAGTGAAGCGTGGTGTGTGAGTGAAGGGTGGTGTGTGTGCAAAGGGTGGTGTGTGTGCAAAGGGTAGAAAGTAAAAATTTATAGTTTCAACAGTACAGCAGAACTACCCACCTAGCTGTAAGATCATTGCTATTATATAAACACAATGTAAAAACCCTTAAAAATGCAAACAAAATTATATTCACAAATATATATATAACAGCTGTAATACCTATCAAAAAACTTTGTAGGAGCAGCATGTTTTCAAAGCTACGTCTATTTAAAACTATTTAAAATAGATATGTAAATGTTAAATATAAGAATAATAGTCCCGTGGGCAACATTTTCAAAGTAAAGTGATAAAATGCGTGGCCTACGTGAACCCGATGGCTCTAGTTTTATGCTTTTCAGGTGTCCCCCTGCCATTCTGAGCCCCTACACGCCTCCTTCTGATGGTTCTCGTCAATTGAAGTCAAGCATCTAAAAAAATGGAACCTCCGATTTCTACCTCAGGGGAGATTTGAAGGAAGGAATCTGAAATGTTGGGTGGTGCCTTAGGAAGGGATGGAACCTTAAAAAACACCTGGTTCCTATTGTCCTTCTAGGCCCCAGGGACTAGAAGTGGCCCCGGGAAATGTGATAACTATCCGGCTCCTTCTAGAACATTCTGGGTTCTGCGAGATGCTCTGCGCCGGAGGTCCTCGTCCCCTTCCTCTGTCTGTCATTAGCGTCTGCATGGACTCCCTGCTGGAAACTGGAGTCCCCCCTGGGCTCAGCGATCTGTAATGTAAGTAAGAGAGACAGGATGTCACATTTCCGAGAGGTAACGCTCCAGATAGAAAGGTTATTCGCATTCTCAGGCAACGCCAAGAGTCATGTACAAATCCAACTTTGTCTCCAGTCCTCCATCTCAACCCCAACCTTGAACCATCGTTTTCACTTGTGATTCTTTGATGACTCAGAATCTAAAAGTAACTTAACTGCCCCCCTGACCGCAATCCGCTGTCCACACTTCGGTCTCTGTGCTACGTCACATCTGGGCTTCCAACTGCTCCGCAAGCGTCACTAACGGACCGCGAGCCCTCACCCTCACCCTGACCCTCAAGTGTAGCCATAATGATGACTGCCTGAACTGGCTAGTGCCGTCCGAATGTTTGTGTCCTAAGTTGACACACTGGCCCCTGAAGGGAGGGTTAGGGTGGGTTCTTTGGGAGGGATTAGGTCATTGGGCGGAGCCCTTATAATGAGGTTAGTGCCCTAATGAAAGACCCCAGAGAGCCCGCTGGCACAGCTCAGTGGCTGAGAGGCGACCTATGAACCAGGAGGTCACGGTTCGATTCCTGGTCAGGGCACAGGCCCGGGTTGCAGGCTCCATCCCCAGTGTGGGGCCTGCAGGAGGCAGCCGATCAATGAAGTGTCTATCTCTCTCCCTCTTACTTCCTTTCTGAAACCAATAAAAATATATTAAAAACAAAAGAAGACCCAGAGAGCTCCCTTGCCCCTTCCACGTGTAAGGCCGTGAGCGAAGGGTGGTGTGTGTGCAAAGGGTAGTGTGTGTGTGAAGGGTGGTTTGTGTGCTAGAGGAGCCGTGAGCACGGGGCCAGCCATCAGATTTCTCAGATTCCCTGGAGACAGTCAATTCTCTGGCTGTGCCCGTGAGGACACAGCCCCCCCACACCTACCTGAGGCTCAGGGGTCTCGGGCTTGAGGGCACAGTCCCGCCCCCACACCCAGACCTGGGGGTGGAAAGCTTGGATCTGGAAGGACAAACAGCCCTGAAGAGGCCATGGCTCTCACTGCCCTTGTCCAGCCCCAACTCTCCCCCCTCAATGCCCAGCTCCCACCCCCACAGCCCCCTCTCTCCAGCTGACCCCTCTCCCCCAGGCCCCCACGGCCACCCACCTGCTCACACTCTTCCCGCGTGACCCTGGCCCTGTAGCCCATGGAGCGGAAGAGCTGGAACTGCAGTTTGTGGAACAAGGGGCGCCGGGAGCAGCCCCTCCCGTAGAGGAAGGACAGGATGGCCTGCTTCGGGGCGTGGTTGTCCTCCTCCATGTCGCTGGCCAGGTGGCTGGGGAGAGGGGGCCCGTCAGGAGCAGGACAGGGGCCCCGTGAGGCCAGCGTCCCGTAGGACACGGGACCCTCTCACACAGCGCCCTCAGGAGCCAGCCAGGGGCGCAGAGCCCTGAGCGGGCATCAGGGAGCTGCTGGGCAAGGACCAAAGGGCACCTCCCATCCCTTGATGGTGAAGACGAAATTCCATGGGAAGCCAGCCCCTTCCTTTCTTA